TAGAGGTAAAAATGATTGGGAAAAGGGCAAGAATGAAAATGCTAGCAAACCAATATCAAAACCAGAGGCACAACCGTCTCACAATTGGGACATCAAATGTTTTAGGTGTTTGGGAACGGGGCATATTGCTTCTCAATGCCCAAACAAACGGGCAATGGTGTTGCAGGATAATGGAGAGATTGTGAACGATAGTGATGGCGAGTTTGATGACATGCCGGCATTGGAGAATGTTAGTGAAGAAGAAAAAGTTGAAGGGCCGGTTGGGGATCTACTAGTCACAAGGCGAGCTCTCACTACTCATGTCAAAGCGGATGACTTGGAGTTGCAACGGGAGAACATTTTCCACACTCGATACCATGTCAACAATACGGTATGTAGTGTTATAATTGATGGTGGGAGTTACACTAATGTAGCTAGCATATCCCTTGTAGAAAAATTGGGTTTAACATTGTTGAGACACCCGAGACCTTATAGATTGCAATGGTTGAATGAGAGTGGCGAGGTGAGGGTGAATCGAAGGGTGCTACTTAATTTGTCAATTGGGAGTTATAAGGATGAGTTAGTGTGTGATATGGTGCCAATGCAAGCGGGACATATTTTATGGAGCGACCATGGCAATACGATAGGAAGGCTATGCATGATGGGTACAAAAATCGATATAGTTTCATTAAGGATGGAAGGACCATTACTCTTGTGCCATTAACACCGGCGCAAGTCTATGAGGACTAATTAAAATTGAGAAGTGAGGAAGAGAGGAGAGCAAAAGAGTTAGAAAAAATGAGAGCAAATATTGAGTTGGAGAAAAAGAGAGAAAATGTTGAGATAGCCATTAGAAAGAAAAAGAGAGAGCAATCACAAGAGAGAAAAGAAAAAGAGTGCCCTGAGAGAAGAGAGAAAACACGAGCGATTTTTTTTGCAAAAGAGAGTGATTTGAGGAGGGCGGTAGTTGAGAGAAAAGAGATGATCTTGTTAGTTTATAAGGAATCACTCCTCAATTTTGAGGAAACTAACCCACCCCTCCCTAGTTTGGCTAAGTCGTTGTTGCAGGAATTCGACGATTTATTTCCGGAGGATGCACCAAGTGGATTGCCGCCTATTCGAGGCATTGAACATCAAATTGACTTCATACTCGAAGCTATCATTCCAAATCGACCGGCTTATCGAAGTAATCCCGAGTAGACTAAGGAGCTTCAAAGCCTAGTGGAGGAGTTAATGAGCAAAGAATACGTGAGGGAAAGTATGAGTCCTTGTGCGGTACTGATCTTGCTTGTGCTAAAAAAGGATGGAACATGGCGAATGTACGTGGATTGTAAGGCTATCAACAACATAACGGTGAAGTATCATCACCCTATACCTAGGTTAGATGATATGTTTGATGAATTACATGGTGCTTGCATATTTTCTAAAATTGATTTAAAAAGTGGGTATCATCAAATTCGTATGCGGGAGGGTGATGAATGGAAAACGACTTTTAAAACTAAATATGGTTTATATGAATGGTTGGTTACGCTGTTTGGACTCACAAATGCACCTAACACTTTTATACGTTTGATGAATCATGTTTTACGTACTTTTATAGGAAAATTTGTTGTTGTTTATTTTGACGACATCTTAATCTATAGCAAAGACCTAGGAGAGCATTTGGAACATTTAAAGTGTGTGTTAATTATTTTAAGGAAAGAACAACTCTATGCTAATCTTAAGAAATGCACATTTTGTATGGATAGAATTATTTTTCTTGATTTTGTAGTTAGTGATAATGGGTAGAAGTAGACGATGAAAAGATAAAAGCTATTAGAGATTGGTCGACACCTAAAATCATAACGGAAGTTAGGAGTTTTCATGGTTTGGCTAGTTTTTATAGGCGTTTTGTGAAAGATTTTAGTACTATCATCGCACCACTCACTGAAGTAGTTAAAAAGAGTGTAGGTTTTTATTGGGGTGATGAACAGGAACTTGTATTTAATACTATTAAAGGTAGATTGTGTGAAGCATCTGTTTTGGCATTACCTAACTTTGATAAAACATTCGAGATTGAGTGTGATGCATCAGGAATAGGGATTGGAGCTGCTTTAAATTATTCTATATATGACAAGGAACTTTATACACTTGTTCAAGCTTTGGAGATTTGGCAACATTATCTATGGCCGAAGGAGTTCATAATACACATCGATCATGAGTCACTAAAGCACTTGCGGGGACAAGGTAAATTGAACAAGAGGCATGCACGATGGATGAAATTCATTGAGACCTTTCCATACGTCATTCAGTATAAACAAGATAAGGAAAATGTGGCGGCGGATGCGTTGTCGCGAAGGTACGTATTGCTAACTACTTTTGATTCTAAGCTACTTGGGTTTGAACATATTAAAGAATTGTATGAAAAAGATATTGAATTTTCGGATATTTATTTGTCATGCATAAAAGGGGAGGCATGAGGGGTATTTATTTCGGGAAAATAGGTTATGTGTTCCTAATTGTTCTATTCGAGAGTTGTTAGTAACGGAGGCACATAGTGGTAGATTGATGGGACACTTTGGGGTTCAAAAGACTTTAGATGTATTGAAGGAGCATTTTTATTGGCCTAAGATGAAAAGTGATGTTGAGCGAATTTGTAGTCGATGCATAAGTTGTAAAAATGCTAAATCTAAGGTTTTACCACAAGGTTTGTACACACCTTTACCTACACCTAGTGAGTATTGGGTTGATATCTCGATGAACTTTGTTTTGGGTTTACCTAGGACTAAGAGAGGTCGGGATTCTATTTTTATGGTTGTAGATAGGTTTAGCAAAAATGGCACATTTTATACCATGTCACAAAACTAACGATGCCACAAACATTGCTGACTTATTCTTTAAAGAGATTGTGCATTTACATGGGGTTCCTAGAAGCATAGTGTCGGATCGGGATTTCAAAATTTTGAGTCACTTTTGGAGAGTTTTGTGGGGTAAGTTAGGCACTAAGTTACTATTTTTCACAACTTGTCACCCACAAACGGATGGGCAAACCGAGGTAGTGAATAGGACTATGACACATTTGTTACGCACAGTAATCAATAAAAATTTGAAGAGTTGGGAGGAGTGTCTACCATTTGTTGAATTTGCATACAATCGAGCTGTTCACTCTACTACGTCATATTCTCCATTTGAAATTATATATGGTTTTAATCCACTAACTCCTTTGGATTTAATTCCTTTACTAGTGAATGAACGTGGTAGTTTAGATGGCAAAAAGAAGCGAAATTGGTTAAGGCACTCCATGAAAAGGTAAAAACGCAAATTGAAAACAACAGTAAGTTGGTTGCGTCACAGGCAAACAAAGGTAGGAAGCGCGTGATATTCGAGCCAGGAGATTAGGTTTGGGTACACCTTAGGAAGGAGCGGTTTCCGAGGTAAAGGAAGTCCAAGTTGCAACCAAGGGGCGATGGTCCATGTCAAGTGATTGGAAAGATAAACAACAACGCTTGCAAGTTGGACCTTCCAGGTGAGTACAATGTTTCGGTTACTTTTAATGTATCTGAACTCTCTTTGTTTGATGCAGGTTCAGATTCGAGGACGAATCATTTTGAAGAGGGAGGGGATGATATGATCCAGGAGTCGAGCCCGACGAAGGCGAGTGCGAGACGAGATCCGTTAATAATCGATGGAGGACCAATGACGTGATCAAGGATAAAGCAAGTGAAACAAGCGATGGGATTGCTCGTTCAAGAAACCATTGATGGAACCACGTTCGGGACTCAAAATGGAGCAACTTTTATGTTCGGGTCGAAGGCCGAATCAACTTGGATCAATTTGTTATCAAGCGACGAAATCGGAGGCTGAAAACAAGCCTGTGCGGCCGCACAGGCAAAAACACCATGCGGCTGCATGGTGGCATACCGAAACTCAAGACAACATTTTTCTTGAACCATGTGGTCGCACAAGCCATTTTTTTGGCGAATTTTCTAATTTTGGCAATTTTCCATATTTTGTTAGTTTTTTATTCTTTTCCATATTTTGAGGATTATGATCGACTTTTGCACGATTTTTACCTAGTTTTTAGGTTTAGTATAAATAGAAGTTTCCATTCAATTGTTGAAAACTTTTAATATTATTGATATTGAATTAAAAGTGAGGCATATTGTCTTCTCTTCATCGTTCTTCATTGAACAACTTCGAACTTATCAAGTGTTAACTTGTGGCGTTCAAACAACTAGATTTAATTCTTGGATTGCGTGATCAAGGGATCTTTCAAGCGTCGTTCTTGTTGAGTTTTTTTATTCGACTTTCTTTGGGGTTAATCCTAAACTCTTGGATTAATTTGGCTTTCTTGGGTTCGTCAATCTCGTTGTGGGTTTCGTAGTCAACGTGCTACGGGGTTCGTATCAAATAGTTCACTCATTAAAGAAAAGGTGTTATTATCTCTATTATGGGAAGTGTGAAATCTATACAGACCACAAGAGTCTCAAATACTTCTTCACATAGAAAAATTGAATATGAGACAAATGAAATGGTTGGAGTTAATTAAAGATTATGACTTTACAATTTTTTACCATTCGGGTAAAGCTAATGTAGTCGGAGATGCCTTAAGCACGAAGACAGGATTGCAGCTAGCAATTTTACCTATGTTACAGGAACACTTGATAAAGGACTTTGAGAAACTGAGATTGGAATTGATCACACCACCGACTCAAACTATAGCGTGAATAAAAGCATTTATGATTCAACTTACTCTTTAGGATCGAATCAAGGAAGCATAGGATAAGAACCCATTTCTGTGGAAGATTAAGGCCTCATTGGTACAAACAAACGTATAGGATTTGAAGTATTTGCAGATAAAGCACTGACTTTTAAAGGAAGATTGTGTGTACCTAAGGATAAAAATATAATAAATGAGATATTGGAAAAAACTCAATCTACCCATATGTTGCACATCCAGGCGGTGTAAAAATCTATCAAGATCTTTGAGGTACATTTTGGTGGAGAAACATGAAAAGAGAAATTGGTTTGTTCGTGGAGAAATGTATTGTCTATCAACAAGTCAATATAGAATATCAAAGGCTATCAAAACTACTGAAACAGTTGGGTATTCCAGAATGGAAATGGGAACAAATAGTGATGGACTTTGTGGTAGGCTTTTTGAGATCAGCCAGAGGTCACAACGCTATCCAGGTAGTGGTTTGATCGTTCGACAAAGCCAGCTCATTTTCAGCCAATCAAAGTAAATTTCAATATAGAACAGCTCACACGGTTATATGTCAAAGAGATAGTTAATTTGTATGGAGTTCCAGTTACCATTGTCTCAAATAGAGACCCGAGGTTCACATTAATATTTTGGAGAAGCTTGCAGGCAACCATGGGAACGAAACTAAACTTTAGTACCATTCATCATCCACAAATGGATGGATAGTTGAAAAGAACCATTCAAACTCTTGAAAATATATTGTAGGCATGTGTTTTGGATCTTGGTGGTAGTTGGGAGACACATCTACCGTTGGTGAAATTTGCTTACAACAATAGCTTTCAAGCCACTATCGGTATGAACACTTATGAAGCTCTTTATGGTAAGAAGTGCAAATCCTCATTCATTGGGACAAGGTCGGAGAAAATAGAACTTTAGGTTTTGAAATCATTGAACGAATAGTTGAAGCAGTTGGCAAGATTAGAGAAAGAGTAAAGACAGAATAAGATCGACTGATAGGAGAAATGATTTGAAATTTCAAGTGGGTAACAAAGTTTTTCTGAATGTAATACCAATTAAGGGTGCATTGAAATTTGGTAAGAAAGGAAAGTTCAGACTATTGTTTGTTGGGCCTTTTGAAATTCTTGAAAGGATTGGTATTGTGGCTTACCAACTTGCCTTACTACTTGAACTCACAGTAATAGATAATGTGTTCCGTGTTTCGGTACTTAGAAATAATGTTCATGGTCCCAATCATGTTGTGTGTTATCAGATATTTGAGGTACAAAAAGACTTACCATGTGAGGAAATCTCAACGATGGTTTTAGATAGAAAAGTGTACCAATTAAGAAATAGAGAGGTTCCCCTAGTCAAGGTTAAATGTCGAAATCATGAACTTGACGGGTCAAATTGGAAGAAGGAAGAGGAGGTTAAAGCCATGTATCCAGAACTCTTCCATTAGCCAAGCTAAATTCTTGAAGATAAAAATATTTTAAGAAGGTGAGATTGTAAGACCTAACAAAAATATTAATTCATAGAATAGAATTTAATTGTTCTAAATGCTATACTTTATATTTTGGAATATTGGGGGACTAAAGTGTTATGTGTGTTAATCCAATTTTAAATGGGTCAAATATTTAGTTATTGATAAAGCGATGAAAAATATATCAATAATAGGGCTCGTTGGATAGCTCGTATTTAACCATGTATATTAGACTCCATAAAAAATTAATTCGAATAAGCGAACCTAAGTTATTGAAGTTTAAAGAAGTTGTTGTTGATTGATTTTGATTTATATTAAATATTGTGTTTGAAATAGGTAGCATCCACATGTAGAATTAGATAGAGATATGGCGGTTTTGTTTTTTTGTTGAATGGGATAATGATGAAGTAGAATATTCTTGATAGCGACCTTTGCATGATGGCACACGACTGTATATAATTCTATTCTACCAAAAAAAGTTTAGTTGTCTTTTAACTTAAATACTATGGGTTTATCTCTTTATTCACACGCACAAGAGTATATATGCACATACACGACACAGAAGTATAGGCGGAAAATAAGATTTGGAACGTGATTTTGATATTCAAATTATTTGGTCTAATAAGGTAGAATAACGAGGTACAGTTGACTTTATCCCTTTTAAATTATTTCTTTCATTTTAAATTATTATACTAATGAAAGTTAAATATATGATATATTATGTATGTTATGACCATCTAGTACCAAAGATATGATATTTATTGAGTTTTTGATGATTCTTAAAGTTTTGATAACATTATGATATTTTTGACACATATTTAAATCTTTTATTTGGAATTGCACCATTATTTCGTGTCCTATTAAGTATTTTCATGTACTCACCATTTTTCCCTACACATCATTAATAAGAATGGGTCGTTGGCTGGAGGGCGATAAGGTGTAGTCAATGTACCAGAATTTATGGGACTCAATAAAATAATCCAGTGTAACAAGACAAATTTTTACTATTTTTTAACACATGAATAACTCTTTAATGAATTTGGAGCAATTATTATGTTTCCTACTTTTAAATATTATGTGATCGTTAATCTTTATGCACTTACTGTTCAATGGAGTAAATTAGTTCTGAGTTTGAGTTGTATACTAGTTAGGTGATAAATAAAATGATTAAAGAATATGGAAAAATTGCTCGTCGATTTTTGTGTAAACTATTCATACATAAAATTCATTAATAATTAAATTTCTAAGAACCCCTTTTTTTGGTAGCGACTCGAATATATAAAATTTGGGTCGTTAATGGTCACAAACTTATAAAGGTAAAAAAGTAAGCTGTCTTGTTTGTTTTTTGTAACCAGAACAATGATGGTCACAAACTTAGAAAGCTTATGTCACAAATCAAGTAGTATAGTCACAAAGTTACATGAGGATTGTTGATTCCATATTATTATAAAAATTGATATATTACAGCGATAAAAATAAGTGTTATCACCATAAAAGATATTCTCTTAACTTTTCATACATTGTATCCAATTGTTGCATGTGATATTCACACCAATCCAATGTGTATGCTCGAATTGCAGAGTGGAAGGGATGTGTTATGTTATGACCTGACCTGCCAAAATGAGTTTTCAAGTTTTTAAGTAAATGGAACAAACATATTCAATACATTGCCTCGAGAAATACAACTCCAATTGCATTCCTTATAGTATTATGTCTGCCTTGATACTATACACAATCCGCCTCTTGCTTCACACACCCATTTTAACATTTCAAGAATTCATGTCCATGACCTATCTTTCTCATTGTCCCTTATCCCAAACGCAAGTACAAATATATTGTTGTTCACGTCTTGTGTACAGGTTGTCAAAAATGTTGCACTGTAACGACTATTTAAATATATACTATCAACAACAATAAGGCCTACAAAATTTTCACCTAGTTATCGATGCACCCAAAGCCTTAGCAGTATTTAAATTGGCTTATATGATCCATCTCTATCTTGTCTGTTGGGAATCTACTTATACATGCACAGCGGAATTTAAAATAATTTTCGATTCCCACCAAGAATCGCCTTTGTGTTTAGATAGAAATTGTGATAAGATTGTACCTTTTTCAGATCTGCAATTCTTTTGCTTTTCTTTTCGTTCCACAACCTTGATTTGCCACCACAGCTGTCCAATTGTCCAGCCTTCAACGGTGATCCACACAGAGAATATGATTGCAGCCTCTAGGGTTTTCTCTTGTGCCAGCAAGAATAATGAAAACCATATTGGACCTCAAACCCTAGTTATGTATTTATATAAACCCAAATAGGCTCGGCCCGGCCCGGTCCGATCCAATAATTAATTAATCCAATTAATTAAACTCGGTCCGTGAATTAATTAATCCAATTAATTAATTCGAAAATATAAATAACAAATTCAATTAATTAATTTATCCAACGATTGTTAAATTAACCAATTGGCAATTTACAATCTTCCAATTCTCTTTTGTGTGTGACCCATTAGGTTCCCGACCACGATGCCTAACGACATGAAATATTATTTTGATCTAATCAAAATTGATAAATTAAAATACCCTTTTAATTTATCGTCAATTCACATTCGCCGTCCCTGATTGACATCTAGCAATGTGTCAGGGCAATACATGTGACGGGAAATGTCACGTGGTACGATAAAACCAAATTCGTTCGTTTACCGTGAAACTATAATCTCTTCGTCAATATGATCCGATCAATTACGAGATATGGAGTTGTGTCAATCTCGATCATCGATCATATCTTTTACTCCACTATTAAGTCAATATAAGTCGAAAACTCCTTTTCGACTTATGAGTACACATTGGCCAAGGATTTCATCATCGACTTAATTGAATGAAACGCAGATCATAATCTCCTACTATCTAAGAGTGACGACTCCTTTATTGATCAATCACAACCTTCATACGATTCTTGACATACCCGAACGATATCGTATTAGCGGCCCTTTTCAGAGCAACATCCAATACCGCCAAAGTATGACTGTCCTCGTATAAGGTACTATGACGACCTCAAATCAAAGGACCAATTCCACTACCGAACGTTAGAGATTAACCACTGACACTCAGATAGTTATCCATGTAGAATCTCTCGACGGGTTTCCAATGTTTTGTTATATAACAAAAACATCCACGTATTCATTTAAGTGTCACCACACTTTAGCTTGTGAGATCAGCTACTTACTTCACAAGTAAGAAATGCCATGCGTGATGGTCTATCCGTAATAACGATATTCGTATCTCGTTATTACTTACGACCACGGATGATTTAAGATTCAATCAGATGTAATTTGTATCTCACAATCACAACTCCTTGTGATTAACAAATTACGAAGATTTGAATCTACGGACTCTATTATTTATTTAATTGTCTATTAATTAAATAATAGATCTGCCATTTAATTGCATTAATTATATATAAAAGTATTTATGTCCAAAGTTGATTGGACCTAGGGCATAATACTTACATTGTCACCGTTCCAATGTTTATTTGTTGCAGCATATAGAAATAAGAAGGCAGCCTCCCAAATGATGTAGTTGAGTCACCTCTAACCATCTTCAAGGTGTGTTCGCACGATCTCTACGCCTCTACATAATTAATAGATACTCCATACAAATATAGTATGTCATTTGATATATCATTTGAAGTTTAAATGGTCCGTGATGGTGTATTTTTGTAACTGATGCAATTTAGCACAATTGAGATAGATACTTGTCGATGAGATTCTAAAACAATATTTGTGGAGTATATCTGATCATTACCCATTTCCTTAGATATTGTACATATTTGTTTCCCACAATTGCAAATACTTGAATGTCCAATTGTAATCACTTTGCGAACATTTTACTACATTACTCTTTGTTCGATCTCAACACCTTATGCTCAAATTTGTTTTAGATTGCATAAAATGCCAAGCAGATCTTAAGAGTTTCCTTGTTACGAATCACCTTGTCTTTTACTATCCCTCTTGCATCGGCATAGATACTAATGTCACATCTTCATACATTTCTTTGTCAACGGTAATAGCTGAGTCACAAATATCATAAGGTATTTGTTGCAAAGAAAACAATTAGGCGGAGATCCCTATTATTGGTTGATGACTTGGGACGTGGTAATATACATCTTGACTGCCAAGGATATGTTGGTAGAACTTCAACATTTATAGGATAACTTAAAGGATGTGCATCAATAGATTTCAACCCCAGGTATGAAAGAACGTTACTGTCACTGAAAATTCTGACTAGAGGCAATGTAGAATTCAATGAAACTGTTACTATCCCTACATAACCAATCCCCAACTCCCATATAACTATGTCAACTAGCTTAGCATATGTGCGAGATTCATCTAGCAGAATTAGGGATGTGTGACCTCCGTACAATAAGCAAACGTGTAAAAACTTCCATCACTGTTTACAATAAAATTATATTAATTCACACTCGTAGCATACATAAGAATAATAGTAATATCCACAGTTTATTACATGGGTTCCAGATTACATCACTGGACATATACATCTAGATCACAAATTTAATGGTTACAATCTTCTGTTTGTAAATATAGGATTAGTCCTAATTTGAAATATTATACACAATAGACAACAAATAACAGAGTTGTTGAAGATAACATCACTGTTCACAGGTAAAAACAATGGTTCCGATCATGAATGTTAGAAATCTGAAATTAAAAGATAATGGAAACAATCACATATTAAATACAGTTTACAAAAAGTTCCCTAATGAGATGCACTAATCACAGACAGATGCACTGCTCACAACAATTGTTATAATCATGAAGGTTAGAAATCTGAAATTAAATTTAAAAATAAGAAAAATGGTCACAAATTGAATACAGTATACAAATAATATGATTTGCTCACAGATAGATGAACTGGTCACATATAGATGTAGTGATTTCATAATCGTGTTGAAGATTATATGAGTA